CTGTTGTGTTTGTACACCATTAAAATACATTTGAATACATGTATTTAAGCACCCTAAACAAATATAAGTTTTCATATGTGTTCATCAGGAGGAAACACACAAATACGCATAAATACAACAAATTTAAACAAAAAACAAACCTGACAGCATTAGACCGATCAACCCGGAATTGAAACCTTTGAGCTATAGCATAATTCTCCATCACCTCTTTCAATGTAGCCTTATCCTTATAAACTTGTCCGGCCATAACCTCCTTTTGATTGGTTTTTGAAATTATCAAATCATTGTGGAGTTCGAACACTCCAATCGCTTCTCCTGAATTGACAAATTCTATAGCTAGTGTATTATCAGTATCGGAATCGTACCTTTGAACTGCTCCGTCTATAAGCTCTTTTTCGATAGTAGTTACGCACAAAGGATACATCCCAAATTCTCTGTTCTCTTTTTTCAATTCTACATACACTCTGTAACCCATATCATTGTGTATTTCCATTGGCGTGCAATTTCCTTCTACTTTGTATTGTATTTTAATGGTCTTTGAGCTCAAATCTATACCCAGTTGATTAGAAATTGAAGCAACTAGATCATTAAAGGAGGCATACTCCTTAATCAGTATTCCCTCAATTGCAAAATCGATATAATTGCCCTCATCGTTCCACTTGCCAGAATGACGCAACAAAACTGTTAAACTTGCCATATGTATAGAGCAACTATAACTTATTTTGTATATAATTTGTATCAATCGAAAAAAGGAGAAGAGAATTGAAGAATTTGGATGCTCTGTTTTTTTGCTTCTTTTCACGAAAAAAGGGAGAAGATTATTCTGCATTCTTTGAGCAGATTATTGTGTACTCGTATTATTTCTTTGAGTTAAATTAGGAGACTATCATGTGAATTTATTTCCTTCCGTTTTTAACAAGTTTAACTTCCCAGAATTTGCGCAAAAACGTTACTGAATTTTATCTGTATTCAGCTTGAATACAGATAAATATAGATACCCTTAGCTGGAGTTCCCATTTTTACGCCTATTTTTTTGGTTGTATTAATGAATACAACTGCTTAAATACATGAAATACATTGTATAAAAACATAAAAGGTATCTATAACAAGTAATATAGCAAAGGGTATCTATAAATGACTAATTAGGGCTAAAAGATGGTGCTTTATGAAAAAATCTCTTTAATGATTTGTTCCATTCAAGAATTATTGAGGCACAGTGGGCATTTCTAGAGAATTTATGTTTAAAGAAAGAAGGTTTAGGAACATTATTTGGCTTCTAAAAGCCAAAGATATACCTAATGCAATACAAACAATGCATCCTATATTACTATTAAATCCACTTTCCCATGGAATTAATTGTGAGCAAGGGACATAAGGAAATAATTTTTCTATAAGAAAAATAATTTTAGTGGCCTGGTTTTAGGTGATGAGAAGGATTGGATGTTGACCTATCAACAAAAAGGATAACACCAAACAAACCCATTTCAAAGCCTTGATTAGTTAATTATGAAATACAAGTGGAAGTGATCAACTTTATTAAAAAAATATTTGGTTGATAGGCTACAACAATAAAGCTTGAAAATCATTTCTATATTTTTCTTAGGCACGTAAAAAACTCCAAATTATCCTAGTCCCTGCCCACCTCCTCTCCCCACACTTGGAAGTTTTTTTTCTAATAAAAAATTACTGTACATCTCAAGTTTTCAACCGGAGGTATCAAATTTGCAGAATTCAAAGAAGGGGGTGGGCTGAAGGTGATTTTTCTCACTTTGCTCTGCCCCTTTAGCGGTGGAGAAAAGAAAAAATATTTATTTGCACAGGACGTCTGCACAAAATCAATTAATCATTGCAAATATATTTTACCACTTAGCCATGAATCATGATTAAGTGATACGTATTAAGTTTAATTTGTAAGTACTCTAAAAGTTAAGTCGCTTTGTTTGGTCCAGATATCATATGGATATGTACATTTCGTTACAACTTTAAATCATTTATTTCTTTTGCCTTTATTGTCTTTTTTTTTTTGTTGAAATAAAACTAATTGCTCATTCAATCAATCCATTTTAACATGATTCTTCTATAAAATCTTTGCTCTATTCAAATCCATTTTATTCCTACATTAGTAAAAGATTTGTTTGGTAATCTTTAATTTGTGTTAGTACGTACAACCATATTTGTTAAATCTACTTAAGTATTAGTAGACATATTTACACGATACATATCCTGATAGGAGATAAAAAAAAAATACCTTACAACCAAAAATATCACAAGGACGTTATGTCATCACAAGTTTGGTGGTCTTTGTGTTAGTACTTGCAACTCTGATGGGCACTAGAAAAGGGCGAATGAGAAACGATAGGCAGTTTGATCCAGTGGGTTTCTGCAGCCAAAGACCCCACGCTATGTCAAACTTGAAGCAAGTGGCGTTACTTTTAATGATTTTATTTTGTATTTTTGTTTTACTTATTAATTTTATATACATCAACATTAAAAAACTTTAATGAAGCGGTATCCTGTGAAACCGCTTGGGTCCATCTATCCCTGCACACTAATGTCTTTATCCTTTCATGTACTATAATGATTTGTTTTGTGTGTTTTCACTACACATAATTTTTTTTTTTCCTCAAACCCAACAAAGAGACAGGTTTGCAAGGACAAGCTTTTCTGGACCATGGTTCTTCTTAGACAAGTAAAAGATACTCCCTCTATAGCAGTTATGTGTCATAGAAATGTTATGATATGTACCATATTATAAGTTTTAAAATCTTATATATTAGGATATATTTATGACCATAAGTTTTAACCTTTATTCTTGAAATTTCGGTACCTATTCAAACTTTGCCCCACGTAAATTAAAAAGGAGGGAGTAAAAAAAAGCTGTCGACATATAGTAGAAAGAGTGGACCCTCTTGTTGGCTCCTGTTTAGATAGATAGACAAGTGTTGTATATATGTCTATGTGTACACATATATATTATGCTTTGACAAGAAAGCTTAGATCTTTATTGCTCCTCACTTCCTCTTTAATCTTTAGCGTCTAGTTTCTCATTTAGTTTTTGGTCCAGAAGAAGAATTAGAAACAGAGGTAGAATAATCCAACAAGCTAAATATAGCAACTTTCTTTGGTTTTCTAATAGTACTTCAAGCTAACATCTTTTAATAATATATTCTATCAGAAGCCCAAGAATGGTCTGAAAAGGTGTTTGCATGGCAAGTCAAGGAATTGGAGAGACTGGTTTAACAAACTCAGGACCATCAAATCACCATAATATGCCTTATGCAGTTTTTAGGGGGCTAACTCCTGCTACCACAAGCTTCATGTATCATTCTACTCCCAAGTAAGTATATATTCATGTGATAAATTCTGTTTCTTGCTCCTTTTTTCCTCTTAAATTTTGGCATTTTAAGTCTGTTCTAGCTTGTTTTAACATTTTCTTTTGTGTAAAAATATTTGTGCTATAGTAATCAAGAAGGTTCTTTTGATTTTGGAGAGCTAGAAGAAGCTTTTGCACTACAAGGATTTAAGATCAATAACGATGAAGCTAAAGCATGTATGGTTTTTATCTCTCTCCTTTTCTGACGTTTGCAATGTAGAGTGGTTATGGAGTTTGAATATGTCAATGGAAGTCTCATTAAAGGGGCTTACCATTTTCAGTACAATAATCATTCTTGTGGCAAAGGACTTGAATGGCGTGGGGTTTCATACAAGGAAACATGAACTCCTTTGCATGATTTACTGACTCCATAACTGCAGCTAAAAAGGAAAAAAAAGGGGGGATTAGGTTCCTCCACTTAATGATGTTTGATCTTGAAATTCTTTTCTTTTATGTGATGATCCTTAAAGATTTTGCTTTTGTGATTCTGTGCAGCTTTATATGCAGTTTCCACAGGGAAGCCTGCTGCAACTCTGGATATGTTTCCTTCTTGGCCTATGAGATTCCAAGATACCCTAAAAGTATTTCCTTTTTGTGCTTATCCTTTCTTCTTTGACCATATTGTTTTTAAATTGTCCTTTGTGCAATATAAGCTTGGACTTTAACTCAAAATAGGTAACTCTTTGTAAGGTTTTATATTAATAAAGGGGAGATGATTTTGCAAAACACTTAATATTTTTTCTTGGCTTTATCTTTACAACCAGGAAAATTCAAAATCAAGAGAAGAAGATATCAGTACTGATTCAGGTTCATTTTCAAGTAGAGCTCAAGCCCATTTGGAACCAGAATCTCCTATCAGTACAAAAGCATCCTCGGAACAAAATCAACTTCAGTTAACACAACAACAGCAGCAGCAGCTTCATCAACAGATGTCAAGTGATAATAATCCAAGAACTGGAAATTTACAAACTGAATTAGCTTCCAAGCCCAACAATATGGAAAAGGTTCTTTTTTTTTTCTTTTCACAATTTGCTAATCTTCTGTGCTATTATGACAATATCCCAAGATCTCAGGAAAAAAGGTGGCATCTTTAGTCTGGCTCATAATTAACTCTATTCCTTTCACTGTTTGTATAGATACAATACCAAATCCCAACAACTGCAAAAGAATACACCAAAGACAGAGTTTTTGATTTTCTGAATGATTCTCTGATTTTACATTCTGACATGAGATGAGCTAAAAAAGAGAATCTTTACAGTACTTATACTGTTTGTCCTTTTAACTTTATCTTTTTTTTCTGTTGACTAATCATAACTGTAGTTTAAGTTACTGATAATAACATCTTATTCTTCTCTCATCCCCAGAACTGTAGTTAACTCCTTGTCCTTCAGGTATTTAATCTTTCTTGGAACCATAAAAACCAAATTCAGCCATGGATTAGCTCATGTAAACATCAAATGTTATTTTTAGTAATAAATAAACTGGAGAGTGTCTATCAAAAAATCATAGTCTTCCAAAAGATTCTGCCTTTTTTGACACGTTATACCTTTTAGTAATTGCTTAACAAATTCAAAAGGAAAAATAAGGGGAAACGAACCAACTTCACGCTATTGAAGTATTCTCTTTTTGAGTATGTCTATTTTTTCTAGATAATCAACAACAGTAATATAAAATTAGTTTTTTGTTTTGATATATGTTGTAGAGAAAGGGTGCTGGTTCAACCTCAGAGAGGATGGCTGATCCTAAGGTGGCTGTCTAGCACTTCCAATTAATTAAACTTGTTTTTCTGAAATTATTAATTAGACCTTTTTAAAATTCTTAAAGTCTTTTTTTTATCTTCTTTTTTACTGCAGACATTGAGACGTTTAGCACAAAATAGAGAAGCAGCAAAGAAAAGCAGGCTAAGAAAAAAGGTAGGACGATTTTCTTGCTTCCCTTTTTAAAGTCAAAATACAGCCAATTTAGTTTGTATTAACATTATAATTTGTGCAGGCTTATGTACAACAGTTAGAAACAAGCAGGATAAGACTTTCTCAGCTAGAGCAAGAACTTCAACGGGCTAGATCTCAGGTTAATAATATTTGAAAATATAACTCATCTTTTTATTTTTTATTTTAATGTAGAATAATAAATGCAAGTGGGTATTTAAAGATTTTCTGCTGACTGTTGTGGCAAACAGGGGATTTTCTTGGGAGGAGGTACTGCTGCTGGTGCCAACATCAGCTCTGGTAAATTTTGAACTACTATTATTCATTTTCTCAAACAACTAGGGATGGCAATGGGGCTGTGCGGTACGGGTTTTGAGTGTTAGCGGGGCGGGGTGGGTTTGGGAGTTAGCGGTTGCAGGACGGGACGGGACGGGGCGGGTTCAATTTTTAAATTAAAAAAGTATTGCGGGGCGGGGCGGGGCGCGGGTTGGGGATTTTATTTTTTCAACTAATAAGCAATACTAAAAATAGTAGAATGACAATATATGGGAATCTGTACAGAGTATCATGTCAATTATCAAAGTTATCAAAGTCTACATACTTTGCTTTGTTTCGTCGATAGGAAATACCAGAAATAGCTAAAAACGTAGAAGATAATTTTGATGGTGTTTCTTAAATCATATCTGTGAAAATTAATGATTAGCAAATAGAACAAAATGCTTAGGCTTAAAAATACAGAGTGTATCTTTATGCAAAATTAAGATGTTTGTGGCGTCTTTGTATAGTAAATAATACAACTATTGGAAAAAACCAACAAAAAAAGAGATTTTTTTTTTTTTTTAAAAATTGCAGTGCGGGGCGGGGTGGGTGAACGCGGGTGGAGTGTGGGGCGGGTGAATACGAGTTTAAATCCTATGGGGGGATGGTGGTGGTTGAAATTGTGCGGGTTTAGACAGAACCCGCTCCGCACCCGCACCGCCAGCCATTCCTAAAAACAACCCATCGTTTAAGCCTTTAAGAGCCACCAGGAAACATGGTTTTAACTTATACACATTAATATTGTAATTAATTTATATTCTATCAATATATTTTAACTTGTTACAGCAACATTATTTTTTACTTTATTTTGCATGTTGGGTCTTTGTAATTCTTGCTAGTAGTAGCAGACTAAACAACTTGAGTTTGACTTCAGAAAGTTTGTCCCTTTCTGATAGACAATATTCCACCAATATTTAAAAATTGATTAATTAATTGAAAAATAAGTTATGACTTGATAAACTTCCCTTGTAGTTCTATTTAGTACATTGATACCGGTTCTCTTACTATGCTGTAAATATGGTAATAAACCTATCATATCATCTTGCCATAACAGTAAGATTATCTTTGGTAAAAATAAAAATATACAGTTTAACGTGCCAACACCATGCCTTTGCTAAAATTAGTTTCTCAATATAAACACAGAGATTGAGATGCCTTGCATACAGTGGCGGAGCCACATGTACCCAAGGGGTGTCAACCGACACCCCTTCGTCAGAAAATTATACTGTGTAGCTGGGTAATTTTAAAAAAAATATGTATATATACTATATAATGACACCCCTTGACTCTTGGTGAGTTTATTTCCTTATATTTTGACTCTCCTTAATGAAAATCCTGACTCCGTCCCTGCTTGAATACTATTATTTTTTTGGCAGGTGCTGCATTATTTGACATGGAATACTCAAGGTGGTTGGATGATGATCACAGGCACATGTCCGAGCTCCGAACTGCATTACAAGCACATTTATCAGATGGTGATCTTAGGTTAATAGTTGATGGATATATAGCTCATTACGACGAAATTTTCAGCCTGAAGGGTGTGGCAGCAAAATCTGATGTATTTCACTTAATTACTGGAATGTGGACAACTCCAGCTGAACGATGCTTCCTTTGGATGGGTGGTTTTAGGCCATCTGAACTGATCAAGGTAAGTGTTGCATGCAATATTGTAAGAATGAGTTCCTTATTATTTTGTCCTAACCTATGTGGTTGGATAATTTTCTTGTCACCTCTACTGATACTGCAAAATATAGAGGGGCTTCTATAATGTTACAAAGTAAAGATGCGCCTTCTCTTAATGAAAATGACAAATAAAGATTGTCCTTTTAATGAGAAAACTGATTTAATTAGGTGGTTCGGCAGTATTGTTTCAAGTCCTGTAGTAGTAGGTTCCTTTTATTCAATGATCTGCATTATGTAACTTGATCAAAATAAGCCTCATGCCTAGCTCACACTCCAAAAGCTAGCTGGAAGGAAGGAGGATTGCTCAAACCTTATAAGGAAACCAGGGATCTCATCCCGTCCGATGTGGGATTCATTCCATTCATCAAGTTTATATACATTTAACACTAAATAATTTTACAGTATCAGTGTAATTTTACTGTTATAGTAGGTTGTCTGTCTTATTTTCTTGGTAAATAGTTTCACTTACCGTGAAAAGTTAATATAGTTATCTTTTAGGTGATCTTTATATGCCTTACAACAATAGTCAATAGAAAATCAATTAGCACCTGAAAGGCTATACTTTTGTTGTTTCTAATCATATGATCTTTTGTGAAAATGACCACAGATGTTGATTGGACAATTGGACCCTTTAACAGAGCAGCAACTTATGGGAATTTACAGCCTCCAGCAATCTTCCCAACAAGCAGAGGATGCCCTTTCCCAGGGATTGGAACAATTGCAACAATCTTTAATTGATACTGTTGCAAGTGGTTCTATCAATGATGGGATGCATCATATGGCTCTTGCATTAGGCAAGCTTTCCAATCTTGAAGGATTTGTTCGTCAGGTAACATTAGTACTATGCCAATCATCATTCCTGTATTTGCTTAGCATATTCATTTTTCCGTCATATGATTCTCTGCATGGAATTTATTATGTTACAGGCCGATTCAACTACTGTTTTTTCTTCCAACTATATTAAGTCTAAATGTTTAAAGTACATATTTATATTAATTTTGCACCTATTGTCACAAATGAGTCATACTCCAGTATTACTATTTTGACAGGCCTTTACCATCCCTTAAAGAGTTAGGATTTTATTCGAAAAATGTAGCATCAAAAGCCCTTTTTAATAGTATGAATTTATGAACTCACTCTAGAAATAAGATCTTTGACGTAATTGGTAAAGTTGCTGCCATGTGACCAGGAGGTCACGGGTTCAAGCTGTGGAAACAGCCTCTTGCAGAAATGCAAGGTAAGGGTGTGTACAATAGACCCTTGTGCTCCCTGCACATAGCGGGAGCTTAGTGCACCGCTGCCTTTTTTTACTCTAGAAAGAAGATAAGAGTAGGGAAAAAAGATATTCCATTGGTAGGGACATTTTTCTTTGTTAAGATACCTAATAGGAAGAGGATGTGACGACTCAATGCAACAGATTTTCGACAGTGACTTGTAAGTAGTATTATACAGAACTTGTTGGCATTTTTTGTCAAAGCAAACTCATTTGGTTCCATTGAAGATCTTAATGAAATTCCTAATACATTGGTCCCCACAATTGAAATAATTGGTAAGCTAGAGCCTTGATAGGCCCCTTTAGACCTGGGATTGTGACTTTGTTATATATTACATTAAAGATAACTAATTAACTCTTGGCATGACTTATCCTTTTCTTTTATTTTGATTCCCATTTCAAGCACCAGAATAATAATAACACTCTGGTTTGCAGATAAAGAAAACACGCATGCTTGATTTGATCAGTCTTAAATTATATATTACTATCATATTTTATGTAACATTTAATTTCATTATCTAATTATCTGAAAGTGATGCCTGTATAAATATTATGTCAACATATTACTATAGTTAAAAATAATGGACAAAATACTAGAAATTATTTGATGATTGGAATATTCCAATGTATCTCATACAACTATACAAGACAACTTGAAGACTTTTAAACTAATTTCCACCATTTTAAGTATTGTTTTAAAGATTATGACCAAATTGTCTGGCTTACGGGTCCACTTCAAACTTCTAGTTGATTGTTTTTGTTTTGATAGATGATAAATTATCAAATTTTTGTCTACATTGTCTTTATCATTCAATTTAGAATATATGGTAGTTTGACTTCTTTTTTGTTCGACTAATCTTAATTTCAGGCCGATAATTTGAGACAACAAACATTGCATCAGTTACACAGAATATTGACAGTTAGGCAAGCAGCGCGATGTTTCTTGGTGATTGGGGAGTATTATGGTCGTTTACGAGCCCTAAGTTCTCTATGGTTATCTCGTCCACGAGAGTAAGATTCTATAATCTTTGTAATGAAATTTGTTGTCATTACAGAAATTGGACAATTAGGAAAAAGAATCAATATCTGAATGAAGTTGGTCTTCCAAATTAGTATTATAATCTTTTCTTTAATTATATATAATTTAGGACACTGATCGCAGATGATAGTTCTTGTCAAACAACAACGGAGTTACAAATGGTACATTCCTCTCAGAACCACTACTTCTCAAATTTCTGATCATATTACTCTTGATGATGATCAAATTGTATTTCTGAGAGCTACGTACTTAGATGAGTAAGATTTTTTTTCTTTTCATTTATTCTTTTTGTTGTTAGCTTCTTGATATCTCCATGTCGTTATTACTGAGTTGTCTTGTAAATGTAAAGAATCAAGTTTATGTGCATGAGGAAGTTACCTCTAGGGTAAAGATGGAAAAAATTGTGCAATAAGCGTGTGATAATAGGAAATTAATATTAAGCACCTTTATTTTCTTAGTGGAATAGGAAAAGAGAGAGAGAAGGGAGTGGGGGTAAGGGAGGGGATGGAGTAGAGGAGATTCAGTGCCGAGCTAGAGTAATACCGTCGAGCTCGGACCAACTCAGTAATTTTTGTTTAGATTCTAGTATATTTTTATAGAAAAAATATATAAATAATTAATTTTAAATCAATAACTAAAAAAAGTTATAGATTTATTGACAAATTCAAAATTCATAAACCAAATTCTAATACCGCCTTTAGAGAGATTGCATATTCAAGTATGGCACACACGTAACAACGTGTGGATTCTCCATTGGGAAAGAAAAGAAAAGCAAAATTTAGTTGCTAAGAATACCTAATTCATCCACTCCCATGATTTTGAGGAAGTTGGTTGCAACTTGTTTTGTTCTTTTTATATTTTTGTTTAAACCTTCTTTTTGTTTCATTATAAATTCACCAACTCTCTTAGGTTGCCTATCCAAATAGATTTTCAACTTGTGATGACGCTTCAAGTGTCAAGAGAGTGTCAATTTTTTTGTTAGGCTAGGAGGTGCACGTTAACTCATAGTTCGAAAAATGTTATACTACCATAACAACGTAACCAAGTTGACAACAAAAGAACTGTAAAACTATCATAGTAATTACGAGCGGAAATGGAAGAAAAACAATAGAATTAGCAAAAATTGAGGAATACATTGTAGATATAAAGGATGGAAAATACAAGGAACCTTTTAAGGAAAAGTTATAGTAGGAAACAATGAGAGTAAATTTCACTCAACCCCTTACCCAGTTCACCTCTTGAATAGGACAGCCCTTTGATCTTAAATTCAACAGCAAAACATGTGAGTTAATCATGAATTCTTGAACGGTGAAAAACGGCCTTCAATTATGATGGATTTTATTATACGTTTTTCTCAAAAAAAATGAAAAATATTAAATTATTTTAGAATCATTTTATAGCTAAGTACTATTTTTGATTGACGCATTTTAAATTAAATTATGAAAATATAATTAAATAAAGGGAAAAAATGACATTACCTGTCATTACCCGCGTGCTTTCACTTACCGAATTAAATTGTTATTGGATACTACCAAGTGATTATGACCATATATTTCCTATTATAATCTCATGTCGTTATAGTAATTAGGTTTGCCTTAATGATATGGTAATGATGCTTTGATTGTAACTTTTTTGGTTTATAAAAAGGTGAAAAGGAGTTCAAGAACAATGTCGGTTCTGATGAAAATGAAAGTTTCCAAATCAGAAAGGAATAATACATAATTACCATGGATTATCCCACTCTACCCGATGCACCTTTTTATTTTGCGGGGGTCTTATGACCCCCTTATATTTATTTAAAATGGTATAAATTCCACCCTTTGAAACCTATATACGTCTGAGAAGAAGCAGTGTATTGCACACACCAATCATCTTTTGACACGTTATTATTTTAAAATACTATGTCTATTTTATTTTATTTTCAGGTTTTACAATTCTACCTGCGCTTCCAGGGTAGGGGTAAGGCTGCTTACATCCTACCCTTCCCAGACCCCACTCGTGAAATTATACTGGGTAGTTGTTATTATTTCATGTTTTACAATATTTCTTTTATTAAATATATCTTTTTATTTTTATATTTTTATTGTTCACCTTCTCTTTTCTTGTTTTCGACTAATATCCCTATTTTTCACCGGAAAAAATTAGGAATCCGTCAATTGAATAGAAATTATCACCGGATATTTCTCTTTTCTTGTTTTCGACTAAAGCACCCAAAATAGAAGGGTGCATCTCGTAAAGTGGGACAATTCCAATGAAGTAATTATGTAATATGCCAATCAGAAAATGGAAGAAGAAATAGTGGTTATACCCTACAAAACGTTACTTGGAAAGTGCCAAAAAATTGTAAATATTATACATATGGTGCAACACTTGAAGTTGTTCCATAGGGCAAGCAAAGACAAAATTTAAAACCATTCACTTTGAAAGCTACTTGTGTACTTTACCCGGAAAGTGCTGGGTGATTGTTGAAAGTGAGATTTTTGCATGAAAATTAATCAGCTTCTGCTCGAAAGGGTCGTAAAACAAGTTAGAGGGCAGTAGATGTATAATTTAAAACAGAAGTCTTTAACCTAACTATGCCCCATTTAGATTCTTGTTTGTTGCTAATTTGATACTAATAGTGGGTTGGAATCCGTTGCCTTACCCCTTGGCTAAGCTCTATCTAGATTTCTATTCGATGCTAATTTGATACTAATAAAGTTCACGTACTAGAGATAAGCGGATCAAATCGCTAACATCCCTGCACGACAATAAAGCACCGTATCTCAAGTCCTCGAATGATTATAATAAAGGGCATGGGCGAATCCACGTGGTACCATATGGGTGCTTTAGCACCCTGAACCTATTGCCTGTGACGTGGAACCTCTATATCTATGCAACTAATATAAGCACCAATTTAAGTCAGCATTTGTAGGTTTTTTGTTGGGAAGTGTATTAAGGAACTATCTTGTAGTAAGCTGTACTGGATCGAATCCGCTCTCAATATTAATCTCGTAATCATTTTTTACATTAATCCCCTTGTTATAAAATAATAAAAGAAGAAGAAAAGTATTACAGAGAAAAGTAGAGGGAGAGAATTCTTATTGAATTTTGGGATGAATTACAATAGAATAGAACCCTCTATTTATAGGGAGAGGGTGACTTAGCCACCAAGCAATGAACCCTAGAATCTCTCTAAATATAGACATTCACCATAAATACAATTCTATTTATAACACTCCCCCTTGAATGTCTATTCAACAGATAATGTGTCTCGTTAAAACCTTAACTAAAATAAAACCCAGTGGGGAAAAAATTCTAGTAAAGGAAAAAGAGTACACATATCTAACAATACGCCTTTTGGTTGCATCATTAAAAATCTTGCAAGGAAAACCCAGTGGGACAAAACCTTGTGAGGGAAAAAGAGTGCAACGCGTATTAACTCCCCCTTATGAGAGCATCAATTCACATCTTTAAGCATTTGCATTCCAATCTTGTGCACCATCTTCAAAAGATCTTTGATAGAGATTTGATGAACAAATCATCCATATTAACTTGAATGAATATATTGCACCTTGAAATCATCATTCTTGATAGAGATGGATTGTCTTCATATGATCTTGTTGGAATCGTTAGTTCAATATCTTCACATAGAGGTGAAAACTCTTGCTATCATATTATCATGCATATAGTTATAGCAAGATACATTTGTGCACAAATTGCACTGAGGATGTAGTACTTCATGACCATGAATTCTATATGCTTTAAGCAATTTAAATCCTTCAGGGATTGTTAAGTCATATAAGCCATATAATAGACTTTAGATGCATATCAAGTTTTCATGTCATGCTAGACATATAAGATATCGAAAACTGATTGCACATACCATTGACTTTATACTTTCAAGTGTTTGAACTACATGTTCAAAACTACATGTCTTTCATATGAAACCAATTATATTCGAAATTGTTTCTCCAGACTTAAGATCCTCATATATATTTAGCGCTATCATAGATGTCGTCGACAAACATTTTATATCAGTTTCAATATTTTTTCATAAAGACATAACATAGAGATCTCTTCATTCATATTTTCAGGTACCTGAATCTCTCTTGAGATTTTATGAAGTGTTATGTCATGTGATCTTCTAGATCACTTGCCTCCTTTATTATGATCATTTTGATCATTTGCTCATCTTCTTTATCAAGAAGTTTATTTGAAACCGATTTGTCTATATGCTTTAAGCGTACTATAGACTTTGTCCTTCTAGGACTTATTCTAATAGGAGCATTTGCAATGAGAATATAGTTACTTTCTTTGGGTCAGCAAATGCGTCTGGCATGCTTTGCAATAAATTGCACATGAATTATCCTTTTATGAACTTCAAGTTCATATTATTTTATTCGAGGATCTAGATGTATAAATGATAATTCATTCCATGTAACTTTTTCTCAACTGTTGTATCTTGTCTCCCCCTCATGTTAGAAAAACTAACTTGTTTCCTCAACTTTGAGAACCCATCTTTGTGCGTTATGGTGTTAATCAAAATATACACCGCACATCAATAATAATAAGATGGAATTATTTGGTTCCTGACCCTGAACCACTTGTGAGGGGAGAAAATAATATACTTTCGTATATAACGTATATCAAACTGATATAGATAACTTTGTTCTCATAAGCAATAGTTTAGCTATTAAGTGGAGGTACTCAATAAATCATTTTGCTAAACCAACTGTGATGTAAACCAACTTATCAAGAAGAACTATCTTGAATAAAAAATCTGGAAATTATGCTCTATATTAAATTATTGAGCAAGTTACCTCGCAAACACCGGCCAGGTTGCAGGTTAATAGTAATCGCACATGTAACCATCTCATAGATGCTTCTTATGTGGTATACATGGCAGGTGAATGGGCCCATATTCACCTTTGATATTTCCAGCATTCATGGGATTCAATCCCAATTTTAATTGGTCTATTAATTAATGAGAATAAGCAATGTAAGAGAATTCGTAAAGAACTTTTTAGTTCTTTAATATTTACCCATGTGAATTCTTTTTTGTTTTTGCACATCATACTTGAATTAACATGGCCAAACCAATTATGCCAAGGATAAATTATCAATACTGATAAACTTCAGGTTTACACCATGATGTGTGCAATTATGAATAAACTCCAAGTTTATTGTGATATGAGTTTTTATATCAATAATATTCACTTCATTGTGGTATTCTTTTGTTTATGTAGTACAAATTGGAGAATAAAGCGGGTGGCTTTTCACATATATATTACCCCGCTACA